GGGGGGGGGGGGGGGGGTGGTTTGGTTAGGTTAGGTTAGTATATTAATATTTTATTTAAATAACTCTTTTCCGTGCGTTAACGTTACTAGAATTTTTGCCGCCGTGGCGTTAATACGTAAGTACCTTTAAAATATTAAAATATTACAGTATAATTCTGTTATTAATAATTTTGTTATATGTAGTTACATTACATATGGTAACCAATACATCAGTCAATCTCTCATACTGTGTTTCCGATGAGATGCGTATTTTAGAACTTGAATATAGCTTAGACCGTAATGACCGTTCTGTTACCATGTAGGTAGTAAAATAAACTAAATAAATGTGGAGGCATTGAATTTGTGTGAAGGTTGTATAAATTATCATCTTCCAAGCTGAAATCGTTTCATGAAAATTTACATAACATATTTTAAAACTATATAGCTCTAGGTTGTACCAACGAATTATTTTACACTGTATAAGTGAGAAAATCCTTTTATCTTTGCGAACTACTACGACGTGCCTTTATTTTATTGGATTTAAGTTTTACTTGAAAGTTGTTTTATTATGATATGGATTTAGCAGTTTTGAATAAGAACTCTTCCTAAATTAGGAACAGATAAACTGAAATGTGCAAAATAACATTGTTTGAAAAAAGGTGTATTATAATGTTAAACATTTATCCGCTATATGATAAAGTGTAGCTCCAATGACCTACACTTATCGCTTGATGTCATGTTGCTCTTTTCAACGGATAATTTTTTCAACCGTATATGTGATATTAAAAATAGTACGAGCTATCATTTTACTATCACATGGTTCAATTTTAATACACGGACAAGTAATAAAATGTCCTTGAAAAGATGTATTTTTTAATTTAAAATAAGCTAAGGTTATCAAAAAACATAACTTAAGTTATACAGTAGGTAGTTCAGTAATAATTAAAATAGAAAATTTAAACAAATTTAAAAAGTTTGGTTCCTGTGGCAGTATACCTATAATGCTGGCAGCATTTCCTCGCTGTATTGCGATACCATTCGTTGAGCGAAGAAAGCACCAGTTCTGGGCCACAGGTACTATCAACCAGGCGCTAACATAAATCTTTAATTAGCGCCTGTGCACTTGAACCCCACGGCCCAAGAGCCTCTACTCCAAAGGGAACAAAATCGAAGTTGAAGGAAATACTCTTATATTTGAACCGTTTCTTATTTTCCACCTGCTCTGCAGCCGCCTTAGCTTTTTTGCTTGTCCGACGTGAGAACGTGTCCACATAAGTAGCATCCCATACCAAAGCCCGTCCCATCTTCCAAGGGATCAACGACATCCCATCCATCCTCAATTTTTACGCTTATATTCGAATGTTAAAAGGAATAGTTAAAAACCAGATGAATACTGGTTACAGATAATGACCTGATTAGTTTTCATAAAAATTACATGATACATTCTAAATAAAAAACGCTATTCACTTTTCACAGACCCAGCTGACATTCCTCGAATTCCGCCTCACATTTAAAACATGACAACATTATACATAATTTAGCAATAGTATAGAAATATACGGTTTCTGAGTCATCGGGGTGATTTAAATAATAGAGGATTTTAATTTTACTCTATATTAACCACTCACGTTACCACTCACAACAATAGAATATAAGCGAAATAATAAAATGTAAGAGTGAAGTTTGAAGAGAGTGCCTACGTCTGGCTATACTCTTTTAAATTTTTAAATTTCAAATTCATTTATTTAGTTGAATCACATGATCAGTTTGAATTGTCAACTCTACCGCCTGTTCTGAATCGCGACCAGCACACAAGGAGAAAGGCAAGAACCTCGGGCTAGTTTTCTTTTTCTTTTATCGTCTTAAGTTATTTACAATGCTAATATTAGTTACAATTAAATTAAATAGCTGGAGAAAATTGTTTTTAATTCTAAGCTTCCTTATCTTCTAGGTAATCCGATATTTTATAATAAGCTTTCCTAGCTTCTGCTTCATAATTTTCTCTTTTTTTCTGTTTAAGTAAACTCCCGGGGCGTAACTCCCATGATTTAGTTAACCGCCAAGCTTATAAAACTAAGAAAGCGTGAGTGAGGTAAATTCACAGCCTTGGCTCGTACAGTTTTATTTACATAAGGTACACCTTCCTAAATCATACATTTGAATAAAAACAGTATGTCAATTTTATATAAGTACATTGTATATTCGAAGGATGTTCTATTGAATACACTATGACAATGATATATGATATCGACGGATGAACTTAATTGACACGAACATGTTTTAGCCTTTAAATACTCTGAATATTCATTCCAGCTTTTCATTCGAATATATCATTCTTGCTATAGTGTTCCCGAGGAATTTTAGCGGTAGTATAAAAACAAAACTGTGTATTGGTGTAATATTGTGCTAATTACCTTAGTGCTATGCTCAGCTTAAAACAGAAGTTAAAACCTTTTACCGTGGGGTTCTAATGACTTTTGTGTCGGCCATCAATGCCCACGATTGCAGAACTTTTTTCATTATTTTTTTTTATGTAAATGCACTATTAATGAATAACAGTTTGTAAGCGTTATACATCTTTTTCCATTCTTTATTGACCTAGGCCTGTCTCCACCAATGTCCTACTGTGATATGTCATTAAGACACAGACACTGTTGGCTAATGGTTTCTATAACTCATAATTAGTCTACTTGACACTTAAAGATCGTGTAAATCGCCCTTTGTCAAGACTTTCCAAACGAATCATACACGCTCGCGATGTTTGACATTAAAACCTTGGTTGTTTTTAGATAGTATGGCCATAGAGTGTAAGAGATAATAATGCCGGTCCTTCGTAATGCTGATCATCCCGCCTCAAAGACCACGGATTCCATTGCTGCTCGCTACTTTGTTGCGGTTTTGGGAGCATGGGCGGCTGAAGCAGGTGAGCGATAACACCTGCAATAAAATGCTTATAGCCACTTAATTTTTTTTTGGGAAAAGGGATACTTTTCTTTTATAAAATCCGAGAGGCTCTTTAATCTCTGTCTTTAATTAATTTAAGAAATGTATTAAAGAAAAGCTGTGTAAAAAGGCTTACTATAAAGTTAACGATTATCTAGTTGATAAATGGGCCTAGGACTATTGCTAGACAGGCTACTTCTAATTAATTTGTGATAGTTGTTTTAAAATAAGCGTTGTTTGCCATAGTCATTTTGTATGATGATTTGCTATTTTAAAAGAGTACCAAGAGTTTTTTACGCCGGCTTTTTCTCTCGGCCTACACCCTCTGTCTTCTTTGCCGATCGATTAGTAGGGGTGTCTACCGATTCAATTTTAATGACGTGCAAATAAGTGAAACCTGTATCTTATATTCCATAATAAATATATTTTATTTATTTTTATTATTTTACTAATCACCGTTAACATTGTCTTGCTCTTTTGATTTTACTGTTTAAATTGTGAGTCAGTAAGGGGTTGCCTATTTTGTTCTAACGTCTCGTATTATGTGACCTGTTTATCTTCAGTATGGTAGTGAACTTTTAACCCGTCTAGTGTATTTCATTTTGATTATATATTTTAATGTGTGAGAGTCGCGTATTCATAAACAATGTCGTTTTAATAATTTTTATAATAATTTATTTTTAAATAATAACATAATAGTTTTTCTTTTCTTCAGCAACTTATCCATTTGATTTAACCAAAACAAGGCTGCAAATACAATCTGAAGTGGCCGCAACGAAACACGGTTATCAGGTAACTAAACGTTTTTTTAACTTTAAAAATAAGTATCGATATACAAGTAATAGAGTAATGAGAAAAAGGTTTTTTTAATAAATAAACAGAGTTACAACATTTAAAATATTTATAGAAGTAGAAACAAAAGTAACTATACAGAATAGTATTGGTGTATTATAAAAGTGGGAAAATAGTTATAAGTACTTCGTATCTATTAGTATATATCAGTAATTGACACACCAACCGGAAATGGTCGGTGGTGTTCCTGCGTTATGGCGCAAGGATACGTGCATAGTTAGATTTTTTAACCGCTGTCGCGTGTGCACGGATATCGATCCGCACACCGTACTACTACATTTCCTTTTTTTACCATTACTAAGGATCCAGTGTTTAGAGTAGGACACACCACCGTTGAGAATAAGTGCAAGTCTTGGTCTGATCGATTTATACTGACACGACTCGCGACAGCTGAACCAGCGCATATTCCTTTACCGAGGGAAGGGAGCATGGATATAGCTTCCAGATACCCAGGCCCCACACACTATCTTTAATGTTGCATCTGTTCATTACATGTTTATAAACAAGTAACGACAGTACATATCCGTTGGGTGGCGGTATTACCCAGTATAAGTCTGGTCTCTTAATTTTTCTTCAATGCAAAATACACGCCGATCTCGTTTAGTTTAAGAATAAACTTAGAGAAGGAAGAAGTGGTGCATAGTCAGAGATCGGATGCCCTATTTTTTTTCACGGCTAGTATACATTTAATATTTAAATGAAATAATAAATAAGATATACCTATTAGTTTGGTAATTTTCTAAGCTTTCTTAGTAACAGAATTCGCATATTGTGTTACTATTCGCTTGTTTTGTATCTTTTTGTTTTGAAAGTTTTTTATTTAATTCTTAATTTCATAATTCCTCCGTTCTTGAACGTGTCTGTAAAATAAGTATGTGACGAGTTAATGTGGGATAAATGCATTTGAAATAATTTTTTGCAGTTAGAAAATCATGGCATGATAAAAACAGCAGTTGGGATAGCAAAGCAAGAGGGAGTGCTGAAGTTATGGACGGGTCTGATGCCGATGTTTCAGCGACACGCGATATACTCCGGGAGTAGACTGATATTCTATGAATACTTCAGAAGCTATTTCAAGGATGAAAAGGGAAAAGTATCGCTTGGGGCAGCGTCTGTGGGTGAGACTTTTTTTAATGAAAAAATTAATAATTATAAAAGCTATTCAAAAGCAACGAATCTCCTCTTAATCTTAAGGCTTTAAAAAAGAGAAATAAGGATTTCAGTTTCAATTCGTAAATTAATAAACTTAAATAATAATATTAAGTGTAGTTAAGGAATGAGGTTTAAGTATAAAAAGGTTGTTGTTGTCGGTAAAAATGTGTACACAAGTTGTTTTATGAGGTTTTAATTTTTTCCTGATTTTGACCATTATCTTGTTGAAATCAACACATAGGTAATGGTACATGCGTAAATTCAACATGCGTAAATTCAACAACCATAGCCCGTAACATTTCTGCACTTAAGGTAGTCTAGTATTAGCCTATAGTAGTATAGGCTGATCTTGTTCTAGAGAAGTCAATGATATAAATGCAGAAAAGAACATACATTAGATAAGATTTAGAAACGAGGCTTAGCGGGAGTCTTTTTGGGAAAATCCAAGGAGTTTTTAAAATATAGGAGTCAGAAGAGTCAAGAATTTCGGCATAGAATCTAAAAGATTAAATATCACAGAAACGGATCGAAATTTGTCCGCTCCAATAGAAAAACGATACGAAAAAGTATTATAAACGGTTTCAAAGGGATTTTGTCAGTATATTTTATCAATATCAGATAACATGTAGCCGTCGAGGTCGTTGTCCCCACTTGCGAAGGTTGAAGTGTGTGCTGTGTGAAAGCGATTCCCCTCTTGATTGCTTCTTTTCTATGGCTTCAAATGCAAATTGTAGTTTAATGTCATTTCGTCTAAGTAATAAACTAACGTATGATCCGGTCTTAGATAAATTCCGATAATAAAATTTAAATTTCAGAATTTATTTCGGGCTATTTAATAATTATATTTAAATTACGTAATCCATGCCCAGACCTTTTCCTTATCGCTATATATCGCATTTGCTGTAGCTTTCTATTTGTGTACTGATTTCGAAAATGTATTCAGTGATTCCATAGATAACACACAATCTTTATTAATACAGTCAAAACCGTTTACGACGACATCGTTTAGAACAACATACCGGTTATATTGACAAAAATCAAAGGTTCCGGCTGAATTCTATTGTAGGTACTGTATGTTAGGTACTTAATCACAACGTCATCGGCTGTTACGACTGGTTTTTACGACCAAACATGAGTAGTCCCTTCGATGTCGTTATAACAGATTTTGACTGTATTAATAGAAGAAAAAGTGCGTGCTACAAAGTACACATGTCAGAAGCGAAACTTCTTTGGTAAACAAATTTTTAAGTCTTGTTCATATTTATACAAATCTAAAACTTTAATTTGCGAGACAGAGAGAATTTTTAATTTAAAAAAATTGAATTTCTATATAGTAATTCACCCTTCTCACTCTCTCAATTCTCAATCGCTCTCTCCCTTTCTTCAAAAAACCTGAATCTTGTGGCCCAAATATTATAATTTTTCATTCCTAAAATTTTACCGTCAGCCCTATAAAAAATTTCATCCAAAAATTTCATTTAAAATATATAATAATATAATAAAAAGGTTACTTTACCAAAGGACCAAACCTATGAATTTATTTAAGTGTTTTTTCTATTATCAATAATAAAATAATTTTATGAGTTAATGTTATTAACACTGCCGACCATAAAATCTGGTTGGAACTAGCCTTATCTGTCATATCACTCTAAATGTAGTAAACAGTAAAAAGCTGAACTTTCATGAGGTACCTCAATCATTAAATAACTTGAATTCACAGAAAAATTAGATTTTTAGGTCCAATGTAACTAAAATATTTATTGGCTCGAAGTTCAGGCGGGCTGGCGGCTGGGTCCCTGGCGCAACTCATCGCATCTCCAACCGATCTGGTGAAAGTTCAGATGCAGGCGGAAGGTAGAAGACTGTTGCAAGGGAAGCCGGCACGGTTCTCCAACTGTCGCCAGGTTTACGTGATGCTGTATGCTCAAGGGGGTCTGAAGGGGTTTTGGAGAGGTATGTTAACTTGTGGGTGCGATTCTTCTATTATAGCAATTTGCTTGTTCAGACACAGTACTAACTATGCATAATGCTACTATTTTTTTTTAATTTTCCGAACCAATTCGACTTAGGGTCCTTCAAGAAAAGAGCGTACCAATTCTTAAAAAGCCAGCAACGCATTTGCTAGCCCTCTGGCAATGTATGTCTATGGGCGGCGGTATCACTTAACATAAGTTGAGCCTCCTGTCCGTTTGCCTCCAGTTAGATAAATCAAAAAAAGAAAGAAAGACATTTGCCCCCGAAATTACTACCCACTAAATAGAACTAGTTTATTGAGTATGCAGGAAAAATAAATAAACCATTGGTGCCATAGCCAGGGATCAAACCCACGACTTTGGTATCGTTTATACCCAATTCTGAATACTTAAGCTAGGTTACTAATAAAAATGCTTCTTGATATTTTAAGTGTTAAAATAATTAATAAATAACAAATTAACAAATAAAGAAATTAATTCGTGATAATTAATATCTTAATAAAAAAGGAAACAGAACTTACAGAAATAAGTTAATGTTTTCAGGTGCCGTACCAAACGTCCAGAGAGCAGCTTTAGTAAATATGGGTGATTTGGCTGCTTATGACTTCACAAAACAGTACCTCATTCGAGAGTTCGGACTTGCTGATACACCGTTGGTGCATGGCGCAGCTGCATTCACCGCTGGCTTTGTTGCTGCGGTCATGGGTACACCGGCTGATGTGATTAAGACACGACTTATGAACCAGCCCGTGGGTCCAGATGGAAGGTAAATAATCGTTTACGGGACTCAAAAATAATACTAGTTAATTATATGTTGGCCTAAAACACCTAAAACTCCTCTTATCATTAAAAACTAACAGCCATACTCAGAGTCGTCCGTTAAATTGCATTGAGTTACACCGCTCTCTAGGTAGATACTGTATAGGAAATATAACTTTTGTCGCATCGGTGAATTTGTTTATATATGTCATAACTCCTCCTTTCTTGGCGAGTCCTTTAAGGTCTCTGCATTGAGGCTATGGAATTCACTTCCAGTACCTATTCGCTTAGCTCCTTCCCTATATTTCTTTAAATTTCTTCTGTACAAACATTACCTGTCCACATCGTATCCCTAACTTTAATAATACTTTCTAACTGACGTGAGACTGATCTTAAATTAAATTCTCAAATTAAATTATTATGATTCATGTGCACTTTTTATTATAATTTTTTTCATGTATCCTTTATTAGTTTAGTTTGTTTTTTGTTCCTGTTTAGTTTCTTTTTCTTAACAAAGATATGTAATACATGTATTTTTGCACTTCTTGCCTACCTTATGTAATGTAATATTTTTTTTTTTTTCTCAAAGTGGTTGCCTGGAAGAGATCGCTCGAAAGCGATAAGGCCGCCAGTTGCCTTTCCTTTACATGTAATTATGTTAAATTTTTATATTATAAAGCAACAAAGTGTGAATAAAAAAAAAACTAAGCGCTTAAACAGTGTACGTTTAACATACAATAACGTACATATCGATCGACCTTTACCTAGAAAGTTAATAATTCAAGAGGGCAAAGTTGCTATGCGATTGAAAATAAATACGTTCACCTAGATCATTAAAGTTAGCTTTATAATTGTTTACCATTTTATTCCATATGTACTTATTTATGATCTTACCTACACAAAATACTGTAGATGGTAAACTTTTCTAACGAAACGTATTTTTTTAAATTTTAGTTGAAAGACCGCAATTAGTATATTTGTTAAGAATACGTAGGAATCAAGTCATGTGGACCAAAAAATCTTTACTTTTATAGCATTAATAGACCATTACAGTGAAATATTTCCAACGAACTGGTCGAGTAAAATGACAAAAACTAATTCAATATAAACTTATATAAATTGGCCCAGCGCGTGTAGTCTAGAAGTCTAGTAGTAGGTAGATGGAAATTGCATACAAAAACATCGACATGGGTTGATACTTTAGCGTACTAAAGCTATAGGACGCTGAAAGTAGTAATTGATATAATCGACCTAAAATTATATATATTTCCTTGTCAAGTATATTATAAAGTTGACTACATATAAATGGTTAAAATATATAATTAAAGTGAAAAAGTGACCAAAAACATTAATTTTTCTATTTTATTGATATACTTGCCATTTCATGTTAATATAATTATAATATTTAAGAATATAATTACAATTTTTACAAAAATTCCACAATAACTGTCAACTATACCTAAATATAAAAACAGAAAATTAAGTAAAATAATTGATTATAAAAACTAATTAAATATTCAATACGATGTTACTGTAATGAGGGCTGTGGGCAAACCTATTGTTAACAGGAATATTGGTACTAAAGAGTTTGGTGTGACGTAAGTAATTAAAATTATACGTCAATATTCAATGAGACATTCTACAATTCGTGAAATAAATTAATATCTACCATAAAATAAGGACAACCGAGAAATGCTTACGGAAATGCGTCATTAATCGACATTATTAAAAAATATCGTACTTTTTATCTCAGTCTCACTGTATTTATACGTATAATTTATCCTAATTCATCAACGCAGACTTAAATTTGGTATAGTTAATACCACTTATGATACAACATTTACTAAAAAACTATTTTTTCTGGATATATTATGAAAATTTAGCTGTATGATAGTTGTATAGAAAATTAAAACTAAATCAGTTGGCAAATTAAACGGCTTATTTGAAATTAACATTTCTATTTCCAACAGCCGCTAAAATACAAAAAAGATAGGGAATACTTAAAAAAAATTGAATACCTACGTGAATATATATTATTTTTAGTCAACGTCTCACGGCGGGTTTGATGGAACGAGACGTAATTTTACTTAGTTTAATCTAAGACAATTAGGGTAAGAGTCAGATATGTAACGAGTCTTTGCGCTACTCATTTCTGAATTGTCTTTATTACTATTAGCTTTAAAAAAAATAACGACTCTGCGACGAATAAGAACCCTCATTTTCGTATTAATCATCATATTTTATGAAATATTATAGGTTTTAAAATATTGTTCTATTTAAATATAAATTTGTACACAAACGTTATAGTTCGGATAATAATGGCACTAACATCAAGGAATGCGTCAGACACGGAATCAATGCAAGTCTAAGTAGGTAAGTAGCAAACGAGGTCAAATATCGGGGTCAAAGTCGACACGCGCATTCAATGTAACACCTTTCCCTTTCGTTTCCAATACTCCAGAGCTTATGAAATAATTAGGCGAATAGTGAAATCTACATTCATTAAAAACTTCGTCGCAATTTTTTTGGAAAGATTGTAAAAAACTATCTTATTTTACGCCTTAAATGTTTTGCAAATAAAAACTAGAATTTGAAACTTGACTTCGCGTTCCCTCTGTAAATACAGTTTCTAAAATGTTATGTACTGATACTGTGATTAAGTCGCATTCCAACTGGTTCGTTTAGAGTTTAGACATAACGGTTACTTAAATGCGGGCTATAACAAAAGCCACTCATCGTAGATTTGATTTGATCGAAGTATGTTATGTTTGAATTGAATACAATAAATATGTATTGATCCTTCACTATAATTTAATTGGTTGACTCTAACTAAAAAACACAATACAATATAAATTCCTATTGTCCGTATACGTCACCAGAGAAGTCACCTCTAACATTTGTCTAATTTCGTTTTTATTCTATCATGGCAAGTGTTATGGAGTCAAAAATTAATTGAATTACATTACATTAGTTTGGCCGAGAGCTGTTACTAGCGATTTTATGAAATATTTATCTAAATAAAATGCATTTGGCGTTTACTTCATATTTGTTTCGCGAAACACTGTAAGTATCGTACGCTCATCTCATGCGAACTTCAGGCATACGTTTGTTTCACTAGTCAGTCGTCCATTGAGACGAGACTTTTGTAGTTATAAAGATTAGATACACTTACAAACTAACTAAAAAAAAATATTAGTCATAATATTTATTATTATACATAATGTTTGGCTCTGACAATTATAAATAAATACACTTAGGCCCAGGTGAGTAGGTTTGTATGACGCGGTCCCTTTGGTAAGGGGCTACTCTTTCCAGGTGGTTAATCTGGCAAGTAAAGTAAACCACATATTAATATTTTATCTAATTATTGTATTGCATATACTACACCCCGTTCAAATTGCCCTCGAGTTTGCACTATAGATGCGCGACCGTTGCGCCGCGGTGGTTGCGTTTGTCACTAAAACGTAGCTTTTTAGTGAAATTATAAAATTTGCTAGCTTTAGGCCCGCTCTTAAGCCATAAGTAATAAGTTCACCAAGAAAGTTTAGATAAGAGTTCGACTAGATTTATTTAAATTATTAATCTACCAATAGAAAAAAAAATTATGGATGTGTCTGAGTATGTCTGTTTACATCGAATGTAATATATCCTATTATTTAATTTAATTTTATATATATCCCGTAATTTAGTCCAAGGTTCAATTATATTGTGCATTGGAAAACTACAACAAAACGTTTTTTGATTCATTGTCAATTGTCCAATTTATTATAGAAATTTTTACCGCCGTTTTTTAGTTTCCTGTTTTGATTTGCAATTTCTACAGATTTTTTTTATCTTTGTATAAAAGATTCGTAGCAAATGCAATTGGGATTTCAAATATAGAACGTAAGTAAACGTTTTTGTTCCAGGGGGACCCTTTACCGCGGCATGATCGATTGTTTGCAGCAGTCGGTCCGGAACGAGGGCATATTGTCGCTATACAAAGGGTTCTTGCCTCTATGGATGCGACTGGGGCCTTGGGCGCTTATCAACTGGATCGCTTTTGAAAACATCATGCTTGCTATAGGGGGACATACTTTTTAACACTTTTAAATCGATATTATTCTTGTGTTCAGTTTCTTACGTGTGAATACTGGTTTATTTATACTGGTCTTTGCTATATTTAGTGGGAACTATTAGGTTTTTAAAATTAAGTTACGGTAATGCTTCTGAGCATGAGTTTTGGTATGATATAAACGAATTTTGGCATGAATTTAGATATTTAAGAACTATTAGACGCTTAGAAAATGTATGAATTGACGTCATAGATTTTTCTCGTTACTTGTAATCAAAATATAGAATTGGGGATATCTTCTTTATAGTCTCAATTTTTAAACTCTAGTATTTCCTATTTGTAAGTTAAATGTTCAAAGAATTTAGTGCAATATTACGCAGAAAATCGCTTTAAATAAATATGTATACAAAGGTTATTTATATTAGGTATAGGGTTTTAGCCGAATTGTTTGTAGATTTTATGGAATGTGATATATTAATAAAATATTTATTGTTAAAATACTATTATTACTTAGAGCAGTTGGCCTAGTGGCTTCAACGTGCGACTGTCATCCTTGAGGTCGTAGTTTCGATCCTCAGCTGTGCACTAATGAACTTTCTATTTGCGCATTTAACATTAGCTCGAACTCGACACACGACGGCGTGTGTCAGGCATTGGAGTGTGATCAATTGCAAATGATTATGAAACAGATACAGAAATCTGAGGCCCAGACCTAAAAAGGTTGTAGTGCCACTGGTATTATAACTTACAGGACAGGATACTAAAGTGTTTAATCTGCGGTTTAAGTGAAATTAATAAATATTACTACTTCAACGAGATATGAAACACGTTCATGGTTATTGTTCTTGCTGTTTAGCGGCAATATTTAAAAGTTAAAAGCCACACAAAACGCGCACATTATAAAGATATTTTAAATAAATCTTGATCAGCGAAAGGTCTGTACTCTGTAACTAGCCAATAGTCATCCGAACTTTACAGTTTTTGTACTACCAGCCCTGCGATTCTGTAACTCACTTTTCGAACTCACACAGCGGTTTTCGCATCGGCGGTCGCTCTCAAATCAGTCGTGAAGCAGTCATTTTATGATTTGGCATTCTGATTAACAATAAACTACAATTTCCCACCTTTTCAGAATGCCAAATCATAAAATGACTGATTTGAGAGCGACCGCCGATGCGAAAACCGCTGTGTGAGTTCGAAAAGTGAGTTACAGAATCGCAGGGCAGATCATCAGGCGACATATTCAGGTCTACGGATTTGGAGTTTCTTGCCCATTCTTCTCCACACGAAACTACTTTGTATTTTTTTTAACGTTCAAAAGTGCCATTTTAGATGGTCTAATTGAAATAAATGATTTGACTTTGAACTACATAGAAACTGCACACAAAAATAGAGTTCAAAATCACTCCTCCTCTGTCGGTGTTTCTTTTTTATTGTTCCATATAAGTGTTGCCTGGAAGAAATCGCTTGTTAGCGATAAGGTCGCCCGTTGCTCGTATGTTTTTGTATAAGGTAACGAAGTGTAAATAAATAAATGCCAATGGAATGTACGGGCGTTGATGTTGTAAATGAAACTCAAAGTACAATATTAAATTTATTAGTAAAAAATATTATACATCTTCCACAATATTGGAGAATTATAACTTAATTATTTAAATATTTGATTATCATAGATTAGAGCACTTCCGATTTATTAAAACATGTCATCTTACGACTACAGCGAGAAGCACAATATTATATAATATTGTTTAGCGTTTTACGATTTTTCACACCCCGTTCATAGAGTATGTTACAAATAGTTAAATGCCTAAGAACATTTAGGATTACATCAATTTATTTAGAAGAAATTCTAACATTTACGCCGTGGTGATCCATCTCTAAAATTCTATCAATCTCGATAAATATTAATTTCGGGTACATTACGATAACAAAAATAAAATATCTACATTGAATTAACGAGCTCTCAAAGTTATTAATTTTCAAAGTCTTGACTACATACGCTAACTAAGTACAGTAGCACGAGTGCCACGTCACACACGCCGTATTCATTGCTGTAGTCTCTACGACTACCTCTTAGTTAAAATTTATATTTAGGTTAAAATTTGAAATATTAATTGATATTACTTATAGATAACACTTACGGGTAACGAAATCGTCGTACATCGAAAGCTATAAGCGCGATGCAATATAAAAACTTGTCTAAAACGCTCGCTGTACATCAAAAAGTTCACTCGTATAAAACCGGGCACACGAATAATATGGACAAATTTGTGCGAAACAAACCCGCCGCGGCCTACACTAAGGGAAGCTTCAGACAGAAAACCGTTTCCTAATACTAAACTGGATTATTATTTGTATATCTTTATCAAAGTAAAAACCGCGAATATACCTAACTAATGTAGAGTGGTAAATATTCCATGAGCATTACGTTATAAGGGGATAATGGTCATACTCAACATTTAGAAACATACTCTTATAGAGCACTGTCCCTCTCACACATACTGACGAACCACATGTCCGACAGAGACAGCGCTCTACAAATATATCGATACCTTCTCTCCAAAGCCCCATATCGCCAAGGGGATAATCACAATGAATTCAGCGGAACAATTCAAAACTTTGATCCCACGCACTATTACTAAGCATATATATTTCAAAAACTAAAATAATATTCTGGCACGTAAGCGGACGCATAACTAATGACTGTCGAATCTAACCGAAAGTTCGGTCGGTCCTAGATGTGACGAGATAAATTCGTAAAAAAATTTTGTACTACCAGAAAATTTTGATATTAACGCCGATAAATTGCGAAACTATGAGATGAAGCACCATAAACATCAAATAGGACAACTTGATAATATAAACCGCAGCTATTTACAAGCTCTGATAATAAAATCCAATTATCTCGCTCCTACCATATGACAGAACTTATAATTAAAAATTTTCTTATAATTCCTGCCATAGCCAAAAACTTAAATATTCATCAAAATGGAAATCAATTTAACCTTTACCATAAGTATTTCATCATCCTCGCTAATTATGTTTATTTATTAATTTCTACTAACTGTCTCTTTCTCTCAAATTGAGTTAACGTTCTGTTGAAAAGAGACAAAAGTCAAATGTTCGTGTCTGACTATAAATAGACTTAAATGTACTATATTTTGATAAATATTGAAGAATTTGGCTCAACGTCCAATTAAAACGCTTCAAAAACTTTATAGGAGCGAGTTACTTTCCCATAACATTAATCTAACGCACATGCCATAGCACTAGAAATACACACAAATCCTGAGGCCTTATTGTATCTTCTTTAATATACATTTTTAATACAAATAAGCTAATAGCAATTTAGCAATATTAAAATTTACGTCCGTGTGTATTTCTAGTGTCCACGTTGTCATTCGCCAATCACACAGCCCCAGAATTGGGTTTCAACGCCATTTTTATATATTTCAACAACGTCCTCCGCCTCGAAGACTCGCTTGGTGATTTAGATTATAAGAATGTTGATGATAATGTATTGACACAAGCATGGGTAATCAATCTTTTTATTTTCACTTGGCTTATCGATTTTTCTCATATTGTGCAATCCGGCTCGAAGGACCATTGTGTAAATATAAAGATTGATTCAATGGGGTTTATATTAGCAAGATGTGATGAGTACAAGCAACTGATCGAACGTATCTGCCTGTGTTTGAAAATAAAATCTTTTAAAATGTAAATCTAAAATAATATAAACTTTACCAAATAGATTTAGAGCTTTTAATCCAAATGCAATATACTCCGATAAGTGTTTTAAATAAAACTAAACAAAATATACTTTAGGTAACTTTTAATATTATTTAACCTTGCTAGTTCTTCATTTGTATATTCATACAAATCGTTTAAATTTTAGAGTGAAATTATGCACGCCAGAACTAGCAATTTCCGGTTAATAAATTACAATCAGTTGCTTGTCTATGCATAAAGAATTATGAAAGGACATACAAGCTAACTTGTACTATCGAAGCGTCACAATTGGAACTACCAAAATTATTTCCATTGATAATTGTTTAAAATATCAATAATAAACTTATAACGCACAATTACATATATATAAATTACATTTAAAATCCGTTAAAATATAAAAGCTGCTGTGACGCTTCGTTGGTGGATATTTCCGTAATAGGATAATAGTATAGACGTCTCTTTTTAGCAGGTAATGCTAGTAAAAGACGGCATGCACTTTTAGTGTGAACGATGATGCAATTTTCCCGCAAGCGATAAAATTTAAAACCGCACAGTCACAGCCAATCGACCGCGATTGTATTAGTTTGTATGGATCATGTATTTCGTGAGATTTTACTATCGTTTGCGGGATCAGCAATTTCAAATGTTTAGAGCGAAGGTGGCGCGAGCATAATGGGTATAGGGAGGCGGAGCGTGTGTTGCTCTGTAAGCTATGAGTGATATGCCGTCACGTACGACGCTGGGAAAAGGCCGCGCCGGTGGGCAATCTCGCCCTGAAATTAAAAAAAAAATCAAATAAAATGCTTTTGCTGAGACAAATGTCTTATGTGCCAGGTTGGTACAATTTTCAATATTTTATTTGTTATCTCAAATAGTGTTATAATTTACTACATGAATAGTTTATTATTAAAAGGTTAAGGGGCATAAGTTCTTACCTGCCACCAGTGCTGGTCTGAGCGGTCAAGTACAGTGATGACATCGCCCCGTCTGAACTCCAGCTCGCCAGCCTCTTGCGGTGTGAAGTCGTACAGCGCCTGTACCAGCATCTGAAACATTTTTTCATTGTTTGAAGAATCTGTGTTTTTATGTTAATTTTACCACGGAAACATATTTAAGAATGATAAGTTTTTTATACGTCAAAATTAACGGGGAAGCCGCATAGGCATTTTATACCTAAAAAAATGATTAATATAATCTTGTAAAGGTTTTACACGCATTGTTATGTTGAATAACGCATTTCGGCAATTTTAATTAATCTTACTTTACAAAATTCGTACGATAGAAAACCAAATTAGTGAGAGCACTAAGAAATTTTGTATAACGTAATAAATGTACTTCTTGATACATCACAGATTTCGAACGTTGCTAAAAATAGCTTGCAGGCAGGTGTCATCATACTAGAACCAAAAATAATTAAATACTTACATTAAATTTCAATGTAACACGAGATTTTAAATTTATTCTATATTAAAAATTGTTTCACTCAAACGAATATAAACACTTTACTTAGCTATTTAATTATACTCGTTTGGAGTAATTTCAAAGACTTGTTTAATGAAAACAAAAATGGAGACGATACTATGTTTTGTTTGTAATAATTATAGCATCCGACGGCAATTCAAAGCCCCCTGTGGGGTGCCCTTGGTTCGACGACATAAGTATGTGAGCATTATCGTGTTCGCCTACTCGTCCGCTAGTATATACATATGTATGTTTGTATCCATACTTTCTTTTCTCGTTATTATATGTATTATTATTAGACAACATTAGAAGTCCTTTGTCCTTTTGAATAACCTTTCCCTCGCAATATATTTATGAAAATATTATGTATGGATACAAAAATAGTGATAAGTTTACTAGAATAGAACATACGCACAATGTTAATACTCGGAACAAACGCAGGCTGCAATTTCCCCGTACTAGACTATCTAAAGTTAGTAATTCTTTTTTGGGAAAAGGGATACTCTTCTTTAATAAAATCCCAGAGGCTCTTTTATCTCTGCCTTTTAATAAATTTAAGAAATGTATTAAAGAAAAGCTGTGTAAAAATGCTTACTATAAAGTTAATGATTATCTAGTTGATAAAAAGGGCCTGGGAGTAGTGCTAGGCTACTTCTAATTAATTTGCAATATTTGTTTTAAAATAGGTGTTGTTTGATAATTTGCTATTTTTAAAAGAGTACCGAGAGTTTTTTACGCCGGCTTTTTCTCTCGGCCTACACCCTCTGTCTTCTTTGCCGATGAGTAGGGACACCTACAAATTTAAATGTAATGACGTGGAATAAGTGATACCTGTATCTTATGATCCATAATAAACATATTTTATTTTTTTTAACTCAAAATGTTTCTTCTATAATCCAGTCGCCCTACAACCCTAAACGGGTCTTGCGCTCAGATTGCACATGTCTCTTCGGTTATTTAGGTTTAAAGACATTTATTCTCATAACAGACAATAGTCACTTACATGAGAACTTTTATACTAAAGATACAATTTATCACGTCGTGGGTCATTGAAGAGCTTCAAGGATGAAGTAGCGAAGTAGAACTTGGATGGACTTTCATTTACGTAGAGAACTGGGATCACTCAAGAGATGGTCTTTTAGTCTTAATTTAAACATTCTACACTTTTACACTTTTTATATTTTGTGGTAGTTAATTTTTATTTTATTGACTTTTCGGTTTGAGACATGCAGATTTCCTTACAATGTTTGCCTTCACCGTAGGAGCAAATGCTTATTGCGCACACAGAAAGCAAAATTCCATTGGTTACAGCATGTGATACGATCCTTCCCAAGAATGAGGGCACCACGCTGAAGAAACAGAAGGTACAACTACTTGCCTATTAAGAAAAATAAATTACGAAACATATACAGAAATATGAGGACCAGACCTAAAGGGTTGTAGCGCCACTGGGTTTTGTTACATTGTTTGTTACTTGACGAAATTCTTTTAATATATCATCAACTGTATTACATAATAATAAATGCTAGGGCCTCTGGTGGTAATTTGATATATGCATACAATACGATCTATTTCTGTGACGTTATCAGGGTCACGCACGCCGCACTATTTACACACCCGTTGCTACGGATAAACAGTTTCAAATAGTCGTCCATATGTGCTGTAGGGCTGGCACATGGACCAAAATATTCATATTTCGTACCTATCCACAATTTTATGTTAACTATGGATAGTTACGTAACCTATGCAGTGTTAAAAATAAAATTGGCGCGTTCTATAGTCTGTGGTTGGTTTATACTCTATACTTAGTTACTTCCTTTTGGTGACCTTTGTTAAACTGATTGTACCTATCGTTATCTCTGTTATATTAAAACAATAAACCTTTTTCAACAAGTAAATGGTACTATTCAATTACACTCTGCTAACACACAGTTAACATTAACACGAAATAGATAAATAAGTTAGGTCTTTGAACTCTGTACTTGGAACTAGTCTTTGATGAATGATTAATTACGCGATACGCTTTGTACGTGCGAATAACACGAATAATCTATTATATGGGCATTCAAGTAAGCATATTCTAGCACCTAGTACCTCTCTCAAAGATTAATTTGCGTAACAGTTGGAATTGAAAAATTCTCTGTTGGGGGGTCAAGATATCGAGGAAGGCTTTGCTTTAAAATCCCAACCTAGTTTACGTAAGTAAAACCGCGGAACACTGCTTATTAAATAAAATTGAACAGAAGATTTTTATTCAAACTTTAACTGGAAAACCTCTCTTGCAATATCTCTTGTCTTCACTTTAAAGCAATTTGAAACAGTTTAAATATTCCATTATCCTCAAATCGAGAGTTAAGTAATTTGTAATATTTGATGTTGGCAACCCTATTACTAATGAAAACAGTACGCTTGATGGGACTTTCCCCTGTTTGTTGAAATTAATTGAGAGTTTACTTTGTCGATAGCCTTCGGGACTAATTTGATTTATTTATAACGATTCCTTTTAATTATCGAATCGAATGAGGTATTAGGTCAAAATATATATTTTTATTCTAAAAAAACAAGTTGGATATTATTATTATTCTGTTTGAATTTTTCATGTTCATTCATTGATATCATGAAATTTTTCATGATGTCTTTAATCGTAATCTATTATGGCTATAAAGAAATTCTGACATTTGGTTTCGCGGGAAAACAATGATTTTTCAATATACAATAGACAAAAACCTAAAAATAAATAATTTTTTAAATCGATATTAATGGAACTTGTAATTTATCAAAAAAAAACTTAATAACGTTTAATAAGGTAGAAAATATATCAAAAGCCATAATTGTAAAAAAATCTATTTTTATATAGCTTGTAACATATCTATTATTTACAATATTTCGCTGCGTGTAAAATGGTTTAGTAGAACGTATATAAAATTTAAAAGGTCATTCACCTGCAAAGGTCATGAACTTGTCACATCTCATCTTTGTTCCTTGGCGATATATTGTAGTTGGTTAATTACAAAACATGAAACAGCTTACTTTAACACGTATATTTTAGTTAATAATTCATTAAAGTTCAACACAATTTTCTAATGACTTTAGTAAAGCGATATATTCGCGTCATATTACATTAATTAGTATTTTTAATACTTTATTATTATTTAGGTAGCATTAAAACAATGGAACTCTGCGTTGCTAGTAGGTACTAGGTATAATATAATATATATTCTACTAGTGGACCCCACAGACGTTGTCCTGCATGATATTTAAAGCGATTAGGATAGTAAGCAAAGTATGAAAGTACCGACTGCAGTGCCATCTGCCGGGCTGATTTGTGAATCTAAACCATTCCTAGATCCCCTTGAACACACACAAAAAATTTCATCAAAATCGGTCCAGTCGTTTGAAAGAAGTTCAGTGACATACACACTCACAGAAGAATTATATATATAATGATATATTCTATAGATAAACCGCGATAGTTTTTATAAAAATGTCAATTTGCGTTTGAAGATAATCATTACGAAGAAACAATCATAAACTATGCTGAAGACTAGCTATTATGACGAACTTTGTTAGAAGTTATTCACCTTATATTTTTATGTTATAATTCTTCTTAAATTTTGTAATGTTGGTCATAATAATAATGGCCTTTTTTACTTCTCTTTACCGTAAACTATCTCTCTCCTCATTATATCACTTATACTATATTACAGTATATGCAGATACAATTTTATGCAGACGTCTAGTATAGATATATCTATACTTATATTATAAATAGGTAAATTTAATGAGGGGTCATTTCTGGATCTATTGAGCCGAGTTATATGTACATAGTGAATATACATCCTGGACGGGTTATTACAAAGTCTACAATTCAAACACGAAAATTTGTCTAGTCTAAACAATACCAGTTGTGAGAGTGTAACCATACAACTTTTAACACAACGAAAGATTACGTTTTTGGCTTCGAGCTGAACAATGAGTATTAAGCTGGGTCATAGTTCAACTTTTGTTCTCGGTAGGCCCGAGATAAAATTATCTCCATTATTTCAATTAGCTCGTTGATAGTACGACTTTAAATAGATTTAATTACTTTATATAAACTATTAAGAGAGATTTATACCTTTTATGTGTAATAAAAAAATTACGAGATAAAATAATGTAAATACAATTATAGAAACTTTGGACGTTCGCTTGTTCTTAGTACTAACTATTTAATATAAATTATTTTAAAAATACCTCTTCAGGCACAACATCTCTAAGTTTAACGTCTTGCAGGCGGCTGACTGAGGCGGTGCGATGGTAGTCGACTAATTCATTGAGCGAGTTGAACTTCACAACCCATAGGAAGAATTTGCTTGACGCGTCCCTTAGTACTTTGAAATGTTGGACACCATCGGGACATCTGTAAAAAAAATATTACCGGTCATAGTTTGCAGTTATTTAACTAGGATTTTCATATGTTTCGCCTAACGCATTGTACGTGCGTTCGTGGCACGTACAAAGTTTGCTTTATTATACGTTAAAAATATACAGTAAAAAAATATAAAGTTCGTCCAGAAGTAATACAATCCAATTTACTTATACTAAATTACATTTTTATTGTTTTAATGAAACCAAATGAAAAGACACATATGCTTGGTCTATTCCTCACTCTGATTCACACAAATTAAAATATGAGATAATGAGACATACAGGAATGTCTCTGTATTGATTTATTATAGTCAATTACAACACATTTGGCGAAGTCTGGTTAGGAAGTCTGGTTAGGAAGTCTGGAAGGAAGCTGTATGTTACGCTAGTAAATTTCTAAATATCGTAATAATATGTAATACGTTCAATAGTTTCTTCCTTCTTTCCTTTGCATGAAGTTCTATGTCATTCATTTCATTTAAAGTATGTGCTTACCTACTATACCTGACACACGTTGTCAATATTTGGGTCAATACGCCAGATAAGAAACTAATTTTGCGCAAATATATAAAAAACCACTGCTCACCAAGTATTAAAAGTAAACTACATTTTCAATACTATTTGCACGCAATACTTTCATACCAAACTAAATAATTCCGTGAATTGTAAGGAATATCTTCTAGCAAATATTTAAGGCGAGAGTGGCGCGGCGTACCAGGAATGCAGAAAACAATGGTAGTTGAATGAAATGCTAATGTTACTGATTCCATGTACTATTTCATACTTTATTATTCAAAAACGTACATCGGTTAGATCCAAGTACTGATCTCATGAAAATTAATGATAAATTCCTTCTTGAACTGATTGATAAACACAGAATAATTTAGATTTTTATTTTACTAGAAATTAAGCCCCCGACTTCCTTCAATCTATCATTTTCATAGAAACTGAATAAGTTTTTTACGTCGTAATTCCTTATGTAAATTCGTAGAACTACAAGGATTATTAGTACGTCAACTTGCCTGCTTACTGGCTACTAGAAACTTCTAATACGAAACAAAATAAAATGCAAAAGATTACATTACAATTTTCATATGGAGAAATCGAATTAGTTTTATTACCACGTAATTCCTCATGTATATTCGTAAAACTACTAGGATCATTACGTCAACTTGACAGCACACTAAGTATTAAATACTTATAATACGAAACAAAATAAAATGCAAAAGATTACATTACAATTTTCATATGGAGAAATCGAATTAGTTTTATTACCACGTAATTCCTCATGTATATTCGTAAAACTACTAGGATCATTACGTCAACTTGACAGCACACTAACTATAAAATACTTATAATACGAAACAAAATAAAATGCAAAAGATTACATTACAATTTTCATATGGAGAAATCGAATTAGTTTTATTACCACGTAATTCCTCATGTATATTCGTAAAACTACTAGGATCATTACGTCAACTTGACAGCACACTAACTATAAAATACTTATAATACGAAACAAAATAAAATGCAAAAGATTACATTACAATGATCATATGGAATATTTGTCCTAATTTGGGTTTTGAATACGAACATAATTTCTAGAGGTTTTAATGCGTCGTAATAGCTTTAGTACGATTGATAATAAACACATAGAACTTCCGTTAACTATATTAGATTAAGATCAATAAATAGCCCGCTGCGTTGCCTTGTACAAGGTAATTAACGGACGGGATAACGTTTTATTATTATAACTATAAATTAAGTCTAAACCTAGCAAGAGAAGTGTTAGTCAAGTGGCAAGTCGTGAGGTCAAGCGTTCAAACCCCAGTTGTTCATCAATGCATTTTTGAGCCTGAAGACCATCCATAAAGACCAACGATCGAGGAACAGTCAAAATGAACTGAGGCCAAAACCAAAGGTCCAAACACTTTTAAAATTACAATGGATTTCATCTAGGAAAGACCTTTCAGATACAAGTGTATACTTACTTAGTCTCTCAACGGTTCATAATAAAAAAATCTCGTTTTAGCCAGGTATCTGTTTCGGGCCCCGGTAGAATATGAGAACTACCCCGGAGCCTCTCTTATGCGGCCTAGGAACTACCAGAGGTCTGGCTCAGATTTTTGTCTGGTCTCACATACCCTGCTATTTGCGGACACAGGCATTTCCATCTCGGTATCCAAAATAAAAATACCTACCTTAAATATTAGAATAAAATACGAGTGCTACACTATTTTATACAATACGATATAATCTTCTTAAGGGGATAAAAGCGCGAATTCATTTGATTATTTACGAAAAAAAAACCATTTTTCGAGAAACTTCTCTCGCGGACGACTACTGAAAAGCACTCAAATTGTTGAGTTTTATAAAAAATGCATTAATTAGCTAATGAAGTTTTCTTTAAATAATAAACTTCTATTGTACTGCTGTAGATGATTATATAATAAGTAATATTTTTGCTAGTTGTGTCATGTTAATAAATATAACATTATTTTCGTGACACGAGAGTATAGACAAGTATTTAATAACAATTTGAGGTTTATGGAGACTAGAATATAAGCAAACAATGATAAGCAAATTAAGGTATGGCAGTCTCCTACGCAATTCGTAAGTAATTTTTCAAGCTTCGGGAAACTAACAATATTTTGTTTTTTATAGAAATTACACCACAGTGCTAGAAGGCGAGTGTTTCCCGTCTTTATGATTTATTATGATATTGATAGAATCAAGTAACGTTGGTTCAGTTCTTCGATGGACAGTTGATACCACATAGTGATTATGTTAATAATAGACACTTGTACATCACCAAACAGGAAAATAAAAGTAAATGAAAGTAAAAGGACGGTCTTACTTGAGTAGTTCCTTCAAGACAATCAAGACGTTAGGTCACCGGTATGGGCCTACATAAAAAAACACAACAGCGTGTTTAGTAATGTGTAATTACTGGTATTAAAATAATCCAGTAAATCATTTTTATCTCGCTACTCTATAAAATTTAATATCAACCATCAGGCTATTTGTTGCGGTTAGTTCCTCATTATTTACATTGTTACACTATATTTATATACCGTTGATACAGGCCGTCATAGTACCATAACTAATACATCGATTTTCGTGCATTGCAATAATCGCATTTTCATTTTACATAGTTCGTTTATTGAACTTGGAAAACCCGTGCGGTTTATTATTTAACATAATTGTAAATAGAGAAACAATACCATACAAATACTAGAACCTTAATTTTTACATCTTATACTAACATAACTAATACTTATATTAAGAAATGTAAACTAAACGATTATTGTAAGGATTCATCAATAAAGCTTTAACAATAATGAAACCCAAACAAAAATGTGTATAAACGCAATATCGACGTACAGTCAAAATCAAAAAATATTAACTGTTTCTATATTTCCTTCATATACAATACATATATGAATCTCAATAAAAAACAAAGAATAAACGCTACATATAGTCTTTATTAAAAATTACAGGGTCAAGCATGAACAGCAAGTATCTGGTTTAAACTATAATTAATGAATTCTCAGTGCATATCTCTATATATATAAAATTTTAGTGTCACAATGTTCGTTCCTATACTCCTCCGAAACGGCTCGACCGATTCTTATGAATTTTTTTTTGTACATTCTGTAAGTCTGAGAATCGGCCACTATCTATTTGTCAAACTCCTAAGTAATAAGGGGTGTCCACCCCAAAATTTAATTAGTAACAAGGGGTTGGACACCCCTTCACACACCCACATATTTTTTTTATTATTTTTTGTTTTTATTTTTTGGACAATTGTTTTTGTTTTTATTTTTTTATGATACAGCATACAAAAATATATAACAACCCTTAATTTACACCACTCTACGATCAACCCCTATTTTTTATTATCGTAGATAGTTATTTTTATTGAACTAAACAATTGTTTCCTAGAAATAATATACATGGCAAAACAACGTTTGCCGGGTCAGCTAGTATACATATATAAAACCTATAAACCATACTATATAGGGTGATATGGGTTTACCAACGAATCGTTACTAATTTGAAAATCTCAATTCAAACATTGCTCCTTTATAGTTTGTGACAGTTGAGTTAATTAAATACATTAATCACGAAGGCCCCAAAATATAAGAAATATGAATCACCGATAGATGAGAACTGGTTTCAGGTTGAGCTGATTCATACTTTACGATACCGAACAAGTTTCAACGCTAGGAAATCGTACGAAAAACCTATCTAACTATATAAGTACGAGAAAATGTTGTAAACTCTTGTAAATTGCGACGATAAACACTCGGTGTGTTTCTATCAAATTGATTAATTTACTATAGCAGCCTATTCAGCCTTCGTACGGCAGGACTTTTTTTTAAATTTAGAAATAAATATATATTACTTAGGGATACTTAGCATTATAATGGTCAGATAAATTTAAAAATCTGTCCAGTAGTTTATGAATTTATGCGTTCGAAACATACAAAAATACAAATCTTCCGTCTTTATATTAGTACAGATTTAATTTTTTTATACAGAATTAACATTGATTAAAACATAAACTTTCATGCTATGCTGCAGATAGAGAGATGAAGGTAATATTTTTTAGACTGAGAGGTTAACGCCAAACAATGGGAACTTATCATAGAAATCTCGCTGATTCAGATTTAAACGGATAATATAAAAAAAAATTAAAATCATTTTCAACATAATATCTTGAAGAGCAACAAAAAGTGATAGAACTTGAGAACTTTCTCCAATTTAAGGTTTTCTTAATATTAATGAGAGTCATGTGTAGTGGTTAAAGTATGATTACGACTACAGCGTATGTTATAATCACATTTCCGGGTTAAAAGTGTTCGAAATTTAAATTTACTACTATTAATATACATATCTCCTGATTACACGAAACGAAAATATATTTTAATTGATTATTATTTATTTGAACTTTGTTATATTTATCTTTGATTCACGCACTAACGTAGATACGTAAATCTTTTTAAACGGCTATATACGCTAATTCTTTACATTATTTATTCTACTCGACAGTCGTGTTTAGCGAGAGACTGCCACATCATTGACGATTGCTTCAAACCAATTTTTAACCTAACGCGTTCTTCCAAAAACACCAAGTAAAAGTATATGTACATATATAATATAGTAACAGATTTACACTTCACATTCAAATTCCCAGAAATATGCCTAACTATATAGTATTAATTATCTACTGGAATGTGGTTCAAATAGTTTGTTTATGCGACGTTTTGAAGTCGAGAGCATGACTCACGTCGAGGCGCTAGTCATTTTTTTATTTACCAATTTAACTCCGAACGGAATTGATTGCAGACTTGACGCACGTATGGGTAAAAAGAAGGTTGATTACACAGCACACGTCATATACACTAGGTATGAAATCAATTTTATATACATTAACGATCGTCACACGTACGTTCCGGCTACAATGACCTACGACGGTACATTTAACTAAATTACAGTAATATTAACTCTTAAAGGATAGTTTAATAGTATACATTAAGTATATTTACTTTATATAATAGTTAGGTGCATTCTTTCCGAATCTGGAACATCAATGGACATTGCAATCTAACCTATTTTAAACCTTATAAGTATTTTAAGTCTGACCTAAATTACTCAGTATCTAAGAAATAAAATAAACATATTAAGAAAGAGTCCAACAACACTACTTACAGTCACTATTAAGGGTGTTGGTGTTTCTATAAATTTATGTACTTACGAAGTATATTTTATCTCATAGAACATGTTATGCATTTATCCATTGTCAATTGCTTGATTTATTTGCATTTAACATGAAGTACTGGATACAATAATAGTTTCCCTTTAGAAGGCCTAAAAGTCTATTCTTATGTGGAAACATTCAACAAGTCCTTTGGAAACTTTCTGACAAGGATAGAAATACTAAAACAGGTCCCCATGCTCCATTCATAGTTATATAATGGTAAGATAAAGATATCCATAAACTAGGTTATTGCCATATTAGACACTTTGAAGGTATGACAAAATATACTACATAACTATATAACTGTTTGAAATATATTAATTATTTTAAGAAGCTCTCTTTATAACATTAGAACAAAAATTTAGATTTGATGTGTTTAATCTCATTGATACTGAAAATTTATCACAAATACTATATTCTGAGCTAATTAGTATCTTGAGTATCTTGAGATTGATTTGATTAATATCTAAGATTAAAATACCGGCATAGGATGAACCAGTCATTGTTTGAACAGGAATAACTTGAATGTACATATATTGGGTACTAATTTCTTAACATCTATTAATAAATAAAAATAATATAAATGACTAGAACATTATAGACATTAATGAATCTAATTTTTTTGAATAAGACAAAAATTTTATTACCTTTTGGACGAAAATTAATTTTATTATATTCATATGACAAGTCAAAACTGATACCCAAATACTCAATGTTAGTAACAGTGTTAGGAATCTATTGATGAAGCTTACTTTACCAATAAACAGTATATTTAAAAATAAGTACACTATTTATAAAGCAACAGAAAAGAAGTCAATGTCTATCATATGTATCATTCACAAAGCATGTTTTGTCTTCTAAATATTTATAATAAATGTAAGTTTACTCCAGTTGTTAATTGTTTAACAGCTCAAATATGAACGGTAGTATTTTTTTCTCTAGACAAGCTGAAGTATCTTAATACAATAAAGTCTATAATCTACCTTTGTTTATATATGTATTATATAAAAAGCTGCTTAAAATTGTTTTATTATGCACTTTTTTTGAGCAAACTACTCACATTTAAATTTTATTTAGACTTTTATTATTGTTCTTCAAAGGCAAAATTTTGATTAGTTTTAAATATTTTTTGGTTAAGAGTTTTACTTGGGATATAGTAATACAACATCGCTATATAAATTATACATAAAATTAATATAGAATAATACCACTTACTTCACTGATAATGAAAAATCTCCAGGACTTGATTGGCTAATCCTTATAAGGAATCCTCCTTCTGGTTTATTTGCTAAAAGCTTTTCAGCGTCTGCTCTTGTTATCCTACCATAGTACCAACTAAAAACAAATTGTGTCATGTTAAATGTTATTCAAGAAACAATTGTTATATCTAACAAAATCTTTACAGAACAATTTTCGAGAACTATAAAAGCAAATTTATTATTAGCAATGTGTAATAAATAACCTTGTGCTTACCTGTGATTTTTCATTTGAATGTAATTACTAGGAATAAGACCCTCCTTTCCATCTAATTCAGCTCTATACCAATTCATATCATCCTCCATATTAAGTATCTGCAAAAGCAATATTTATGAAAGAGTATCGTTACTCTACACATTCGAACTGCAATTACCAGACTTTGTTCATTAGAAAACTTACTTTGAGAACCTGGTTTTTCCTGAAACTGAGTTCATCATCCGCAGTAGCAGTGAAATCGTGTTTTGCTATAGCCTCCATGTTCAAATTAGGCACTTCACTCTAATGTCACTGATTACTAAAATAACTCACAAAGTACACAAATTTACGACTGTATCTGGAGCAAAAACGAAAGAATAATAGTTATGCATATATTGATTACTTAAAACAATCAGTCATTATCCACAAAAAGTTCCAATTTTGCAAATATTAATTTATTCTGATCTTACAGAACAGAATACAGACATTAGTTTTCTAACACTGATGTTGCCACATGCTAAAATATTTAATTGTAATTTTCTATCTTTACTCTTTTTCTTACCATTTGCCAAAAGAAAAACAGTTCTAAAGAGCCACAGTTACAAAATATAATTTCAGAAGTAATACTTTAAACTAATTATCTTATTAAATCCAATTAATATGTTGATAATCTACTTCTTCAATCCAATTCAAAAATCCATACGGAAAGTATTAAATTACATTTAATCTAAAATTAAAATAAATGGAATAAAGTTAAACTCATGGTTTTAGAGTAAATAAAAGTAACTGGCCTTAGAAAGTGTCGTCAATATATGAATATATTATTATTTGTTAACAATTTTTTCTTAAGTTTTCCTAAATAAAAATGATCGTAAATAATAAAAACGCATCTTTTTACTGTCTTCGGTTAGATAAATCTTTATGTTATCCTGTAGACAGTATCATTATTTTATGTCTTTGTCATTGTCATATTTGAACAGGTGATCTTTCAACTGAACTTTGACAATTCTTTTAAATCCAATCGCCTCCCAGTGGCATTATACGCGTGAGTATTTTTCGAAATCTATAGTTATTTTGTAAATCTTTAACGATTTTGTGCTCAAAATGCCAAATACAATAAAGGACGAGTTGTTAGTATTTAATTCATGCCGTAGTTTTTTAGAATTTCGACATTTGTATCTTTGTGTGGCCGGTTAATAACAGTCAGTCTAACACGTCTTGTTTTTATTTTTACAGGTTTAGTCGTTACTCAAATAAACGCAACGATGTCGGGAGGATTAGATAACTTAGCCCTCAACGAGGAAGATGTAACCAAAATGCTTGCAGCGACAACCCACCTTGGGTCTGAAAATGTTCACTTCCAGGTACTTAACCTCAACTTTATATCGAAACTTATTAACTAAAAGTTCCATATGATGATAAGTGAATCCGTTCCATTTTAAATCTGAATATCTTTGTAGATCGATTCTCCCAACTGACGACCAAATTACAGCATAATAACTGAACTTTAGCCTCGCAATCTGTTGATGAAGTAAATTTTTATTGTAGATGGAAACATACGTGTACAAGCGTCGTGCGGATGGCACTCACGTAATTAACTTACGTCGCACGTGGGAGAAGTTGGTTTTGGCGGCCAGAGCAGTTGTTGCGATTGAAAACCCAGCTGATGTATTCGTCATCTCATCACGTCCATTTGGACAGAGAGCAGTACTGAAGTTTGCTGCACACACTGGAGCTACACCTATTGCTGGACGTTTCACACCTGGTGCTTTTACTAACCAGGTAAGAAAATAGCCATTTTAAGTATCTTTATTGTGCCATTAAGTTGGGCTCTATATAATTTATCAATACAATAAACTAACCTCATAATTTCTTGTATTTTTTAGCATTTATATTGTTTTAGAACTTCTAAACAAACAAACTGATCAAGATAAATTTAATGAAAGCTATTTAGCAAGTCCTTATTATGCCAAAACCACTGTAACAAATATTTTTTATATAGATGTCACAATAATTGAGGTTGGTAATATGACAATTGCTAAATATTATTGTTTAAAATTTAGAGTTGGGTAGTGCTAACATAAATAAGAAATTTATTTAAAATTTGAAGGAATTAGTTTAAGCCACTTTTTCCATGATGATAATTTTAACTAAGGAACCACTGACTGCACTTGCAGGAATGATTATACTGTTATCTGATTTTTATAAAATAAAATAAATCCAGGCTAAATAAAGTGTGTTATTGATAGCTTATTTATTATTATAGATTCAAGCTGCCTTCAGGGAGCCCCGCCTTCTTATTGTGCTTGATCCAGCACAGGACCACCAACCCATTACTGAGGCTTCATATGTCAACATTCCCGTTATTGCTCTGTGCAACACAGACTCACCACTGAGATTTGTCGATATTGCTATCCCATGCAACACCAAGGTATTTTTATTAACTTTACTTAATTATGCCATAATGAAGGATAACTAATGAAATAATTCAAAAATTGTGATTACACTATGATGCTAATTTAGCTAAATGTATAATACATGTTATATCTTAATTGTCTTTACATGTATTCTTATTTATATACTAAACAAATTATAAGTTTAATTCTTATTACAGAATTTTTATTTTTATGGGAAAAAAGATCGCAATTTGACCAATTTAATCTACCTTCTAAGATGTATTTATATATTTCAGTCATCCCACTCTATTGGTCTGATGTGGTGGCTGCTCGCCCGAGAGGTCCTCCGTCTTCGTGGAGTTCTCGCCCGTGACCAACGCTGGGATGTAGTGGTCGACCTCTTCTTCTACCGTGACCCAGAAGAGAGTGAGAAGGAAGAACAACAGGCAAAGGAACAGGTATCTGAATCTTTTGTAACTTATAGTCAATTTTAACTGCGTAGTGGTCTGGAATGTTAAAAGAGCCAGCGGAGTGACCTTCCAAGAAAAATTTGGATGGTTGTCCTAAGTTTATAAATTGGTTGTTTGAACAACCTGTGCTAATATTCATCCCACTTGAGAATTCTGAAGCATAAAGCGTGTGTGTCTTTGTGTCACTGCTCCAGACTTATGCACTACACAAAATAAACGTACATTGCTAGTGGTCTCAGTGACTAAATTGGCATAGGGACCTCTATTATAGTCAATTTTCTAGATGTGAAACAACATGAAAAGTTAATACATTCTTTGCACGTAAAACTTAATCTTACCATTTTCTTTATTTTAGTATTTTTGAATTATCATAAGTTTGTCCCTAAAAAAACATTTCCATTTCAGGCTGTCGTTGCTGTCAAGCCAGAGGTCCCGCCCCCGGTGCATGAAGACTGGATCGAGCCTGAACCAGTCACTTCGTGGGCTGAGGAGTCTGCTCCAGTTGCTGCACCAGCTTTTGGCACACCGGCTGCTCAAGACGATTGGGCTGCTCAGGTATTTATTGCATAGCTATACTATTAGACAACTAAGACATGCCTTATCGCTAGGCTTCCAAGCATGTTCACATTTCATTTGATTAAAATTGGGTATATATTTCAACTTAGGGAACAGTTAAAGTTTCATCAAAAGTGGTTCAGTAGTTTTTGTGATGCATATTCACGCATTTATGTAAATATTTGTATCTGGGTAAATTATGTTGATAGTTTTATTTAAAGTTGGTTTATATTTTTATGAAGAAAACTTGTAGGAAGATGTTATCAATTACACATTTTATTCATTTAGCAACAACTATATTTTTAAATAAAATTATTTTACAGGTACAAGAAGAGTTGGGTACCACCGCCCCGCCTGTGGTTGCTGCGCCTGCTCCATCATGGGGAGGCTCTGCCCAAGGATGGGCCGCGTCGTAAACATTGTGTTTACAAAATTAAAATTTGAAAAACTAAATCTTTGTTATTTGCTTCATACCTATTAAACTTTTTTAGAATATAAGTTTTAAACTGTAAGGATAATAATGAAGAATGTTGGTCACATTCTAGTTTTATTACGATGAAGATTTACACGTTTTTTTAAACTTATTTCCAATAACCAATACTACGCGGATAACTGCTTCTATTGAGCCTTCTACACCTACGTTGGTAACCCATTTTGCTGAACTATGAACAAAACTTATACAAGCACTACAGACGATAGACGCATATAAATTTCTTTAATACAAACCCGTAACAAAAGAAAAATGGTGCGTGTACTTATGTACGCGCGTAAGAAGTTATACTTTGGCATTATTAAAAATAGTTTTTGATTGCATGCAAATAATTAATTACAATTAAATAATCAAAGACTGGAAAAGGAGTCATTATAGTCAATAACGTTCAGTTTACATTTGAAAAATTAAATAAATCAATATTTATTATTATTCTCTTACATTAAGTGTAACAAATTCTATTATTATTGGAATTTGTTTTTAAATTAAGTCCAATGCCGTAGCATCTTCCGTGGGCAACTTCATTCTGTTAATTTTGTGACACGGTGCGCGCGCATCGTAAAATTTCACTCTCATCAATTTTTCATAACGCGCCCAGAGAAGTATAACTTCAAAAAATACGTATTAAATTAATAGGTGTGGGACATAATATAAAATTTCATATATATTTTAATAATAGAAATGACAATTTTATTAATGTAGAACACTTTATTTTATTAAAAATCAAGTGTTTGAATCGCTATAGAGATGAACTCTGTAAACACAAGTATATTGTTGATTGCCATGGTTGGACAAAACTCTGAAAACAATGCGTTTTAAGGGAGCGCTATTGTCTAATGAATAGTATTGTTTCGCGGGCTTATTATACCGGTATGTTCCGTCTGTCGCTTTTGTCCAGGTACCGTTTTCTAGGATTCCCTGAAAAGAATCGTCAGTGAAGGAAAAACTACTTTTTATTCAAACAGTATATTCATGGCATTCTTAATTACTTACCTCTTATTCATAAAAGGCATTTAATGTATCCTTATCATTAAAGCTACTAAGTAAAAAAACGAGACAACATTCTATATTGGAAGACTGAAGTAAAACCTTAAAAAAGTAGGGTACATTTTCTGACACTGATATAAATGTTTTATGAAACAGCTTATTCTTGAAGTATTACCTTGTAGATTCTTACGCAAGGCGCAACGATCAAGAATCATATATAAAAAATATTTTTAATCGTACTGAGTACATAACAGAAAGTTATAATTTTTACATTAACTCTGTGAATGTTCAGCAAATAAAACTTACGTAAACTATAAAGTCCTTCGGTGCACTTTGCGCTGTGTCTGGTCTTATGTGTTCGACACTTATACTGTGCACTTGAGCGTATTGAGGAACCTCTATTATAACTTCGCCAGTCGATCCGCTGTAATAATAAATTATAAGATACTTTATTTCTACTTTGCTTTAGCGTATTATTATATTATTATGCTGATGTTAATAAATTAAGAAGTTTTATATTAATTTAATGCATTATCTTTTTATAACTCGGATTACAAAAAAAAAGTTTTTTATAGGCTTTTTTAAAATTATCTTTACTCAATCGTAAATTAACTCTATGTTTCAACATACGTCTGAAGATTCTGTGTGTAACAATAATTGAGTGTCTAAATTATATTGCGCTTCTATAATTTAACGCGGCTCATAATTGCAAAGAAATCGCCGACTTGCATTTCATAACTGATATAGAAAACCGGCGTAAAACAAACCCTGTTCTAATATAACGTTTTGCGGAATTGTTAATAGGAACAAACGCTCAGACGAAATGTTAATTCGATGACATCAATTTCACGTCTCATTTACGGTCTTAATGGAGACACTTTTGTAAGATCTCATTTTCCACTCAACTAAATACAGATCCGTCAAGTGCACGAGGAAATTGCAAGATTTGGATTTGGTATGTCAAGGATCTAAATTGTGTAATTGTGCCGTGAAGAAAAATTGTCTAGTCGATCAGATGGTGGGATTTTCTATTTATATTTTGCGTATATAATAACAAATTCAATATTTTTTCATTAGCTTTATGTTAGCGCTATGTTTGAGTATAAATAAATAAGATTCCCTATGCCATTATTAAAATAATCAAGCAATTCAATTGCGTGGATATAGGTTTTTACAGTTTACAATATAAATTTTACCAAAACATTTTGAATTTTACGGGACTTCTTCACCAGACAAATCGAGCACATTATTGGGGTGATAATCGTAGATAATAATTATAAACAACATCAAGCAGAATTCTATGTCTAAATATGTTAAAACTGAGGTATAAGAAACGGATTCTTATCTTGAATGGGTAGAAATAATGCTTTAGAATTATTTCAATTACTGAATATAATCTAAAAGCATTCGTATAAAGCGTACCTAAAAGGCCAACAATCAGATGGCGTTGGTTTCCTCAAAGCCAGTATAGTGTTGGGAGGCGGTGCGGCGCGCCACAGCGGTATGACACCCCAGAGAGCAACTCTCCCACCCCACTCTATAGTGTTGCTGCCCTTTACAGCCTGTGCACCGACCATGTATTCCAATGCGTTGTTTTCTATTTAACGATATAAGACATAAGTGATACAAATGAAAAATAAACAAATCAGTGGCGCTACAACCCTTTTAGGTCTGGGCCCCATATTTCTGTTTCATGATCATTTGTCAATGTAATAGACAAGTAGGTGATTAGACTCCTGTGCCTGACACAAGCCTTGGACTTTTTGAGTCGAAGACAAGCCGGTTTCCTCACGATGTTTTCCTTCACCGCTCGTGCGAATGTTAAATGCGCACATAAAAGGAAAGTCCATTGGTGCACAGCCGGGAATCGAACCTACGACCTCAAGGAAGAGACTCTGTCACTCTTGAGACTCCAAGTCACTAGGCCAAAATAAATAAAACAGACTCGTATATTACGAAAGCATTTTGTATAGAAAACTAGCGGTCCGTGGGCGTATGGAAGGAAACGGAAGCGCAAACATACATGGTTCGAAATAAATTCGTGTAGTTAACTCGACCACAGTGCTTATACTTTCCGTACAAAAATTTATTTACGCTGTGTTGAATATATCCACTTTTATAATATCCACGCTAATGACACGTAAAATGTTAGATTTATGGTCGCGGGGTGGCAATATGTACTCATAAGCAAGTACACGAAACGAGCATTAAATTTATTTTTTATTATTTATACTAAACAAGCAAGCAGAATACATAGAATATTAACTTTAAACACATACCCCATTTTTTGTGATTTTTATAACTAGGGCATCTTTTTTGTTATAAAAGTGTACTTGAATATGACATCAGGACTTTACAAATCACCACATAATTTTGGGTATTTTAATTATTTAACTACACTTTAGGATCATGGAGCGCCTATGCGTTAGATAACATATGGGGGCGACAATTCCAGAGACAGCAGAGATGGTACATATCTCGCATAGAGTTTCTTTCTTCGCAGAGAAGAAGTAGAAATAAGTATTCTCAGTTTTATTAAAATTAAATGAAATGCAATTTTGACAAGGTTGACGACTTAAAAAACTACAACCTATTAGGGCTGGGTCTCAGTACCTACCTGTTTCGTGATCAGTTTTTTTTTCTAATAGACAAGTAGGTAATCAGCCTTCTGTGCCTAACACACGCTATCGACTTTTTGGGTCTAAGGCGTGCCGGTTTCCTCACGACGTTTTCTTTCACCGCGTGCGTTAATGCCGGCAGTATTATAATAATATTTGTTGTTGAAATAGATATACTCGTATGTATTTGAAAATGACCCAGCATTAATGTATTTTAGCTCAACAAGCCCGTCGCGGTTCCAACTTTCGTCGACAGTTATTTTTAGCTTTCACCATTTTTTCGGTGAAATGTCGCTGTGATTTATGGTGGTTAAAATAAGCTGAGTTAAAAGTTTTTAGGTGTTTGTACTACTTTGATGAGAATACTTTTTTATACGTTAAAAAGTTGGCAAGATAAGAGCAAACAATTCTTGGAAGACTTAGATTTTTTAACATGGCTTAGGAATTTCGTAACATAATTTAAAGGTAAAAAAGGTAAAAATACTGCATTACAATTAAAATTACACAAAACAAAAATAAAAATGACGTGCTTCGGACAGCCTTATATGTACTACATAAAACTTGACATATTTTTTATAGGTTAGAAAACCTCCTATACAAGCTAATTATAAAATATAAGTACATATAACTCGAGAGGAAACCATTTATAAAATTAAACGAAAATGCCTAACACTGAAGTGTTCATTAAATTCGTAGTCTTAAAGGACTAATAGAAATAAACAAAGCGGTCTTGGATTTGAGCCAGCTCGGAATGCGGCCAGATATCAAACATTCAAACTCAGTTCACCCCTAACTAGTGAGCGACCCTTCAAGTGAGCTAGGCACAGGAATCTTTGCATAATTAATCAGTATGTGTGCCTAGATGCTCGCCTACAATCTTCTCACACGACTAAATATGTAACCATATGTTTCTTTGGGTTTTGTATAGGTTCGTCGCTGGGGAAATTTTCTTTGGGAACTGTAAAGTATGTATGTGTAGGTATTTATAAATAATTTGTTTGTCGTAAGTTTATTACTGGTATTTTTCCTTTTGGTGCAGAATATGCTACTCCGCATCGTATTATATTTATAACATAAATACTTTGACTTTCATAATAATGCGTAAAGTCCACGCCACCACTGAATGCCGATAGACGCGGCGCTAGCGAGTAGCGCAGCGTAGTAATATGTTGCTAGTGCTAGGTGCAAGGCTATTTTACCCCAACATAACATAAATTAATATGAAATTCGCGAACTACTCTCCAAGATTTCTAATGTTCTACCTTAAAACGAATAAAATAATATTTCACTGTAACGACAAATTTAGTTCCCAGGGTTCCCGTCGGCAATGAGTGATGGCGCGGACTCTAATACTTTACGCATAAAAAAATAATTTAGTCGAATAACATGCAAGAAGGATTTATACTTCATTTATACTTATTTTAACCTGTAAGGCATAGACACATCAAAGCGCCTAATATCACTGGTTTTGCCGAAAATAGAATCCAGGAACATAAACGCAAAGAACATATAAAATAAAAACTAAACATTTACGGTCTTAAAACACCTCACTTGTTAAAAATGTCACATTAACAAAATGATAAACGAAAGTTAAACTACAGTTAGTTAATATTAAAGTAGTTGTACCTGTTCCGTAGTTTTGTGATATCATTGTCCTTCGCATTCGTTTTGTGGTCCTGTTAATGTTGATAAATATTATATCAGCGAGTACTCGTTGGCTATGCCTACTCTATTACGAATACTAGGGTAGATTCTAGCAATAGTCAACTACAGACCGACAAATAATAATATGAATTAAGAGTCTATATTCTGTAGTCTATGAATGTTTGAAGTCTCCTAACAGTAGTCCATTCACATTTTAGCGTCCTTTTATTGATAATTTGGAAGCAAGTAGGCGATCAGCCTGGTCTACTATTCGTCGAGTTGTACTTATATTTATTCCATTTTTGACATTGATTATGGACTTAACGTTAAATGAAAGTCACTCCTTGCCTTGCGTTAACAATAGATAAGAAAATCCAATATTCTAGTTATTCTTATCTCAACCAAATTATTTGAACAAAAATTTACTGTATTAACATCAAGACTCGGCAATGATTAGTAACAGTGACCCTTCTTGGGAATTTAGTAATTTTAACCATAATAATTGAAATGTGAAAGCGGTACAAATGTTTGACTTAAAATAAAATAAACAGTCATCGTTTGACAATTCGATGTTCAATATAATTTCTATTGTCATTAAATCGATAACTTTTGGGGAATAACTTTAGATATATATATATATATATAAATATCTATTATAAAACACCGGTCTTCGTTTTAGAGTAGTTAATAAACGCGTACAGTACTTCGTTTTTTCGGAACTAATTTTTTCTGACGTTTAAAACAAGAATATTACTAGTAATATTTATCGTGTATACTCGTATCAAAGCTTTTTCTACTATTTAGATTAAGATAGGTTTTTATTACTGTCTCTATTATAATAGATAGATCAAGTAGCCTAGTTGCTTCAGCGTACGACTCCGGCTGAGCACTAATAGACTTTCTGTCTATTTAACACTCCCTCCCTCCCTCGTACGGTGAAGTTAAACATCGCGAGGAAACCGGCATTGCTTTAGACCCAAAAAATCCAACGGCATGTGTCAGACACGGAAGGCTGATCACCTGCATGCTTAATAGAAAAATTATCACGAAGCAGATACATCAATCACAGGCCTGAAAGGTTGAAGCACAACTGTTTTTTTAAATAAATAAATAACAATAACTTATGACAAAAGGGTTTGTGACAGAATTCATATATCGCTAGTCCCCACACTAGGGAGGCCCTGTGTTGTGGGTAACTGTAATAATAGACTTAATATATCTTAATTATATGGCCTTACCTTAATAAATTTTCCATATGTATTAATTTCATCGTCAAACGTTGCATTCTGTAACAGCATTCTTCATTTACTGACACGTGTTGGGAAACTGAAAAATTGAGGGTAATGACTTGTAACAGCTCAAGTTCCATAACATATAACATAATTAATATCTTCAAGCAAAAACAGCCCTTCGTCGGTAGACTAGCAAAACCTTATTGCATTATCCTAATGGAGATTTGCCCTTTGTGTAGCCGAAGATTTAGGTACATATAATATTCATTTGCCTTTATCCGAGAGACGTCAGCATTTTAACGAAATAACCTAATGTAACATACTTACATGATAGTAGCTGGGCTTGTGTCAGTATATTTTCGACCTTTTCTATAGTGAATCTGCCCCGGTAATATAACACTAAAACACACAAAATATATATGTTTTTTGTTCATTCTATGTCTGCAGTCGCTTTATTAAACTAACTTTTATTTTGTAATAATGATTGATTGTAGAATAAAATAAAAGAATGTTTGTTACAATTATATTTAAGATTAATATAGTATGTGACATACCGGAGTCATACATAACGCTGACTTGATTCTGAATTTAACTCTTAGATTCAATAATAACTTCTCAAACACATGGTAGAGGTACAGGTTAGATTTATTAAGCCAGCAGACAGTTCCCTACTTTTTGGATTTTTTGGCCTCATGCGTTATTCATATCATTAAAAACGTCCCCGCAGTCATTATATTCGAGAGCAATAGACAATTTTCATTCTCAATATGAAAATGACTTCGTTAAGTTTCAATTTTAATAAAAGTGATAAGCGTTAATTCATCGTTAATGAGGCAAATTCAGTTACGCAATTGGTCGAATGTGAAACTAAATTATAGGCATTCGTGGATTTACGTGAAATTCGTAATGGCTCGATTATTTAGTTATTACAATAAACTAAATTTCGAATTAGGGTCATACATTATTAGTTTATAGTATAAGGACAAAGAACTGAGTTCCGTGTAAATACAAAAATTGTTGTTAGAGTCAATCAATGAGATCAGTCCACAAACAAAAGAACATTGAGATTATCTGTTTTTTCTA